ATTTCGTGACGTCATCGACTTACGCACATAATTTAAAATGAATCTTGTGCTGTAAATAGTGATAAAAAAATTTTAGCGTAAATTTAATCTTTTGACGCGCGTGTCGCAACCAAACTAATTAAAAAAAAGCTCGAAGTACACTCTTATGAGTTGTGAATTCGAAAGCATGCAAGCCGCTCGTCCGCTCCCTTTATCGTCTGCTTGTCCGCTCCGTTTGTCGTCTGCTTGTCCGCTCCGTTTGTCGTCTGCTGCGTACTAGCGCGCGCTTGCTTCGGGATCTCGTAGACCATGGCGCAGCGGCCAATGGGAGCCCCGTCGACGCGCGCCAGCCAATGAAACCGAAGGCGAATCGCTCCTATTGGGATCGCGGAAACCAGGAGCCGTTTTCGCGCTTCAAACTGATGACGTCAGCTCGCTCCATGAGACGGTTAATGCTTTCGCATTAAAACTTTTTTTTTTTTTCGTTTTAAGGGTTCTTTAATGTTTCCCGCATGTAAGCCATCTCAGGGCAATTTACTTGCCTAACCGTGGTTACGTACGCCCTCGGCAGTTTAAGTCCATGCATCACGATAACGTAACGCGTCCGCCATGTTTATTCTGGTCCGGCATCTTCTGAGACTCTGATTTGTTCCCGCTCTTTCGATTGGTTCATGTTTTTCCGCATTTGTCTTCTAAATGCGATTTCCTCTGTCCTTCCTTTCCGGCGAATGCCCCTAAGATTTAAAATTTAGTTTACTTCGCACTACGAATGTCGGTGCACTCGCCGCCCTGTTTAGTTGTCCCCGGCATCTTCGAAGATCGTCCGATTTTTGTCCCTGCTCTCCGAGTTCGTTATTTTTCTATCTCCTTCCTTTGGACAAACTCACGAGCATCGTGGACGCTAGCGACATTTCCCATTTTAGTTTACTTCACACCACGAATGTCACTGGAACACTGGCCGCCATTTTTAGTCGGGTCTTTCAATCTCCGAAGATTGTCTAATTTAAATTAAATTGTGCTCCCAGCGTGTTTTTTTTTTTTTTTTTGGAAAGGGGGGGGGGGGGGGGGGGCGTTTGGTATATTTTATTTCCTCGGGCGGACGCGTGCGAGATTCTTATTTTGTTCAAGTTCGCGCCACGACGATATCACTCGCCGCCATGTTTAGTGGTGACCGCCGTCCTCCAAGATTGTCCGTGCTCTCGCGCCGTAGAAGGTACTCCGTCGAGAAGGAGGATGTGACGAAGGAAAGGGGAGGGAGAGGCGGCTTGATCCGCGTTGCCAGGCTACGGGCCACGGCGGCAGCGACTGCCGCGTCGTCGCCGCAGCAGCGGCCGAGTGCGCGGCTTCGGCGGCGGAGTACGCACCCCGGGTCAGAGCTCGCGAGTCCCTCGCGCGGGCGGGCGATGGTCGATCCCTTTGGTCAGCCCGGCGGCTGGGGGGATTGGCCAGCGGCGGTGGCGACCGCCACCGAGACGACGCTGTGCTGTGCCGCCTTCAGCCCGCGATGCTTCATCATTCAGAAGGTGAGGCCCCTTCGATGAGCCCCCGTTTCGGGGCCCGGGGCCCAGCGGGCCTTGGGTTTCCACGCTGCCAGATGGTGACGTTTTGCGGGCTGGGCTCGAGCCGCGCGCTCGCGGTGTGTGCGAGCCGAGAGTGAGGGGGGTCAGTCCGGTGTGCGGGATTTGTTCTGCGTGCGTGCCTGCAGCAACAAGTGGAAGAAGTTGGTTTCGTTGGCGGCTCGGAATCGTGTGCGTGGCTTGCGCGTACCTGCCCTGCCCGTGCCCTGCGCTCTGCCAGCCTTGTAGGGGGAAATCCCTTCCGGGTTCGAACCCCCCTCCCCCTTTCTTTCCTACCGCCTGCCGTTATTTGAACTGGAAGATCCGTTTTCTTTGGGGTCTCCATATCTCCATATGATCTCTATCTTTCTTGATGTTGTTAGTTTGAAAGCAAAACAAATTCTTACAAAGTTCGTATTGACCCCCACCTTGCTTAGATCTGCAATGGCCTGCAGTATTGTACGCTACTATAACCCTCCCCTTGCCCCCGTCATTATTTGAACTGGAAGATCAGTTTCTTGTGGACGTCGGAACACGGCGTTTCGATGATATCCGAATTCGGTTCACATGGTCAGTTTTCATTTTCCCGGTCATGTCGCGCGGAAAACGAGTGCGGTCGTCGTATCGGTTATTAATATACGATAATTTCGCTGACTGCTTGGTTAATCGTGCCGAACTTCTCTTTCCGTGCCCGTGTGCGCGGTTTGTGGCTCGCGGCGATTGGTTGCGGTAAAAATGTACTCGTCTTTCTCCCTACATTTTTTTTTTCCCCGTTTTGACGATGTCTTCGCTGGATTGTTCGCTTCGTCGCATCAACCGCGTATATAAGGGTGATCTTTTTTTTCTTTCTTTTTTTTTTTGTACGAGCGTTGTTTTGTTAGTTTTGCCTCTAATTTTGTCCGTCCCGTTGCATTTCCCCCAAAAAAATTTAGAGGGGGAGTCGATACCGCGAGAGGTATGCACGAAATCAGTTTCTCAGCTAAATTTGGCGGGAAAATTTGTCACGTGACCGGACGTCCTTGGGCATGCAGACCATTTCAATTTCCCCGCTGAACTTGGCGGGAAAGCGGCATCAGGCGACCTAGACGTCAACTCAAGCATCCCCGCTGAATTGAGCGGAAAATTGAGGTCTGCGACCTATACACGAGTGCAGTTACCCTGTAAATGTAGCGGGAAAATTAGTATTGTGACCCAGACACCAGTCCAGTTTCCCCGCTGAATTTAGCGGTGAAGGTCGCTGCCAGTGTTTCACTTGGTTTCGTTTATGTGCCACATTTTGCGGACTCGTCTGCACCCCAAGTGTAGTCCGCAACCTAATGCATATTACGTGTGCAAGGGTGTTTTTGTTTTTTTCATGTACACTTCATTTTTATTATGTATGCGTACAGTGAGGCTTATATCACACGGGAATCGTCATCTTCGAAAGAATACTGCAACGATATTGCGGCGCTTTTGGTCTTTGGTCTTCAAAGGAGCAGTATCGCATCGGACACACCGATATCTTGTTAAAAAAGACGCGGAGAGGAATTTTGAAACAAATTAAACGATTAACAAGGAACACCCCCTTACAAAAAAATGAAACGAGTTTCAATTGAAAGTCATTCAATTGACTAGAAACTCATTTGAAACTCATTAATCTTCCTTGTAAGGGCCTGGTGGATGTTGCTCAAGCCTCGTTTGTAATGCCCGTCTAGGAACCTTGACAGGTAGTGACGATGACTGTACGTCATTTCCGATGCCCTCCAGAGAAAAGGGGAAGAAGGAGCTCCCTTCTTATCAAGGTCCTCCTTGTGCCTCCTGGATAAATAAGCACAGACGTCGGTGTTCTCCCAGATGATTATACGAGTTGAACCTGTCACTCAAAATTTTTACAAAAGCAGCTTCCCTCTCCTCCTTTTACATGGTGTTCAAAAGTATACGATGTGTCGTCAGTGCAAGGTGCCTATGCATGCTTTGAACCTGACGTCATCCCGACAGCACTAAGACCACCACGAAAGAAGAGGGGAGGGAGGAACTCCCCACTCAGCAGGACTCTTTTTTTTTTTTTTTTGTGACCCAAACGTCGGTATTGTGCCTCTACAATATTAGAGGCGACTACCAAGTCACTCAAAATTCACACGAAAGCAGCTTTGCGGTTAGTTGCGGTGGCCCCATCGCTAGCGTGCTTCGGTGGATGGAACGGCTAGGGCATCCTGACGACGTCATGCGGCCTCGCCCATACCGAGACAAACTACGTCACGAATGCGGCGGGTGTGACGTGCTCTCCGAGCGCTTGCCGGAGGGGGCCGTTTATAACGAACAATGCAGCTATCGGGCGCAAGACAGAAACGTGCGATTGCCGTTCACGGACATTGTGTATCAAAATCGGCCTATTTCTGAACGTGGCGGGTATATTTCAAATACCGTGGAAGTGTCCCTTTAACGTAATCTGTCATTCGCAAAATTCGTCGCGTGTCGTCGTCATTAACGGTATTCGAAATAAAGACGAGTCCGTGTCTAGTCCGCACCGCATAAAGCTTCGACTTTTCAACGTGAATTGCGCCGACGTCACATCGGCAGCCATTGTGGTGGCCTAGCTGCCGAGCGCATGAGTACCTTCTACAGCACGAAATTCGCGCCCTCCGCTTGTTTTTTTTTTTTTTTTTTTACTAAAAAACAAGTAGGGATGGTCAGCTGCATGATGCAAGCAGCCACTGGTCCGCGGACTATGCAGCGGAACCCTTTTAGTCGGGCGGCGGCTAGCGCCACCTAGCGGAAGCTTTTAAACCCAACTGTTGAATAATCTCGGATTACGATCGTCTTTCACGGACAAGGGCGAAGAATCCCGTGTCGCCCGCCGCTAAGCACAGAGCATTCATCCGCCGTTCTCCACGACCGAAAGTTTACGATCCGTGTCACGGTGATGGATGCCTCTCCTCTTCGCAAGACCCGGTTGCGCATTGCCGAGTTTTGACACGTCACGTGTCCGAAAAATACGCAAACTTTTCGCTTTTTTTTTTCCTCTCGTTTTTAAAGCATGAATTGCTTTTGAACGGAACTTCTCAATCTCCAGCCCCAAATTCCAAACGTTTGTCCTTCCGCGCGTTCAGTTTCCGCTAAATTTAGCGGGGGAAATGGTCATCATGCGACATATACACCAATTTAGTTTTCGCGCAAAGATTGGTGTCACGGTGTGACCTTGTGGGCTTTCCCCGCTACAGTGACAATATATAGGTTTTTTTTTCGCTCCCCGAAACGGCCGTTTCATGTCTTCGAAACAAATTCGCTTCGTGTACTACTCAACTTTCGAGAGGTTGGCAGTCCTACTGCACACTGGCAAAATTGCTCATCTACAGTGTAAACCAGTGTCGTCGCCCCTACTGGCGGACCAACCTTACGCTGTATCAATCACTAAAACGTGCAATTTGACTTTGAGAGAAGAGTAGTCCATCTCTTCATTTGTATGTTTTGTTTCTTTTTTTTCAGAATTCTGGAAGTTCGGCGGCGGAGCGCATGTATTTGGACAAGTACTTTGACGTGAGTCTCTCTCGTAATTCTTTTTTGTTTCTTTCCCTGTATGTCTTGCGCGATCGGCGGTTCTGTGCCTCGCCTGAGCGCCTTACGCGTTGTTCTTCCTCGTTCCTGGTGCAGACGAAACCGACCACGCAGAGTCTGAACCCCAACGCGGACGTCTTTTACAGCAAGAATGCGCTGGCACAGCCTGAGGACGATGACGGTGAGTTGTCTTTTCTTTTTCATCGCCCACTTTACTCGGAATTACAAAAAAAATGGAAAAAAAATATTTGTTGCGACGTACTTGCGTGGAAGTTGTAGAGTATTACTACCGCAAACGACTTAGTTTTCGAATATTTCGCGGTTTTCGAAAACTATCGCGAGATCAAAGAACGGAGCGGGAAAAAAAGATTACAATCACTTCTCTATACTCTTTATAAACTCAAAATTCATAGCTAAAAAAAAAAAAAAAAAAAGTCCGGCTCCACGCGGAGCATTTGCAGTATGGAGCTGCATTTTAGATTCTATGCGTTATCTTATCAAGTCGTGCGCGTTTCAAAGCTCCAAAAGCGTAGCTTCTTCCTCCGGCAATCGAATCTTGTACTTTGCGCGGCGTATGAACAATGCGCAAAACTGTCTTCGTGTTATTCTTATTTTTTAGTTGAAATCGAGTGCAGAGGAATGTGACAATGGGGCAACTTTGGAGGGGCATGCGGTTTAAAGGGGCACGGGGGTTAGAGCATAATTTAAAGGGAAGGGGACGTAAATGATTCCAGGCTAGGTGGCGCAAGGTACCGCCCAATAGAGATGGTGTAGTTGTCAATACCACCCATCCATCGTGACGGGTACTAAAGCGGTCATTAAAGAGTTTGAGTAGGTAGATCGGTCCGATAGCGATGCGATCCGCGCGCAAAGCCGGCGGCGGAGTAGAGAGATTTGGTAGATGGTTCCAATATCCCCCTGCCCTGATATCGATAACCGATCACGGTACGGTGTATGCTCAATGGAGCCGGCGGAGTATCCGTTGTCCTTATCGGAGTCGTCGGATCGGTCTATTAAAACTCTCGAATACGAGCTGCGGCATTCCATTCTTTTCCAACGTACCTGACTGCTAAAAAAAAAAAAAAAAAATATATTTTAAATTGTTTTGGTGAACGTCAGAGCTTATGGACCGTTCTTTCGACTATCCCAAGGCCCTGTGATTGCAGACGCGGAAAAAGGTCCCAGTGGGTATTGTTCATGGAGGTAGGGGTGCTTACCAGCCCCCCAATTATGGTGTTCCTTGGTCCCTAAATATTTTCGGAACCCACACTCTTCCGCGAAATTCTAAAGAAGAGGTTCAGAGAGGATTACGGGCGGCCTTGTGCCAACCTTGGAGCCAAGATATAATCCCCACTTAGCGAAGAGGGGAAATTCAGCTTCCACCCTGTACTTCGGTGGAAGCTCGCAGCTTCCCTGCCTCAAGCCTACGGCTCCTCTCGGGTGTTCTCCGTGAACGGTGTTGGGGATTTTTATTATAATGCAATTAAATGCAAAGGTGCGAGCGAGCTGGACAATAATGATGAAAATGTCCTTTGTCCCTCTTGTTCCCCTTCTCCAGGGGTTATTTTCATCATTGGGGATTTGTCTGCGAGGTACCAGATGTGAAGGGCAGGCCGAGCTGCCTCTGCCCCCTCGGGGGAACGCATTGGCATCGTGCCGTGGGTTTGCATCGCAGTTTGTGCCTCGTACTACACCTCGAAAGAGAGAACCGTCGAAAAAAGACGAAATACGCGTAAAGATGACTGCCGACAATGTTGATCGTCTAGGCTAGATGGCGCGAGTTACCGCCCGTTAGAGAGTACAGCCCATTAGCATCCATCCAGCTCTCCGAAAATAGCGACAGCGGGAAGAAAGCTTGGAATCATACTTCGAAACTTATTCCAAAAACAAGGGTGGGTTACAGTGTATCTTGCACCCATAGGGGGATTCTAGTTAACTGTCTCCCCGGCTCTCCTGTAGAACTCCTGTGCGTGCCTGACTCCTGCACTTTTTGCGTCCGTTGCGGATTACCCCCGAGCCATCTGTAGAATTTTTTTTTTTTTTTTTCGTTAAGACAAGGGAAGGATTGGAAGTATAACCAGGTGCTCCCAACTGCTGTTTTCATAGATGGCAGCAGTTCTTTAGAAAGTCGTGATTTTTTTGAGCAGTCCAGAAAAAGAAAAGAACGAATATAAAAAAATCTTATTGTGTGTTTGCAGGTGGCAAATCCAACTCTTAAACGTGTCGCTCATCAGTAAAAAAATAAATAGCAGAAACTGTTTCTCTTTTTTTTTTAAATTTAGTTTCATGGTGTAATAATGATAACCACTCCGTCTGATCATTTAATATATATATATATATATATATATATATATATATATGTGTGTGTGTAATTAAGTAAGTAAAACAAAACTACCTTAAGTTTTTCTTTGTGTGTGTGTGTGTAGCAGTTGAACGTAGTTGTGTGGCGGCGCGCTTACTGTCTCGTCTTGCGTAATGTGCGCCAATAGCTTCACCTAAGGGCGGAACGTTGTCCCGGCACTTCTCTGGAGAGTAGAAATGTCAACTGCTTGACGTAACGACATGACTCTCATCCATAGCCTCCTGTCTCTTCCTTCGCACATGTATCCATGTTGCTTTTTTTCTTTTTCATCTTCTTCTTAAGGTGACGTTTGTTCGCTGCTTGAGTAGCCGTAAATTGCTGCGGGCGTTGCTCGCGTTTGATTTCCGTGTAGGCCGGGGCTTCGCGTTACCGGTCAGTGCGGATTTCCGGCCTTTGGTTGTGAGGAGGAGGCAGGTGCGTTCTCTCTTTCTTTTTATGTCGGCGCGTCTGTTTTGTTCGTTTCCTCCGGGGTTGACGATGTGCTCCGTGTAATAATGATCGGGCGAAGAAATATATGTGTATGTATACATGCTCGTTGATCTACTGGCTGAAGTACGTGTGCAAAAAAGAAGTAAAAAAATCTCAATGTAAAAAAAGAGCGCGTGTATATGTTTGGCAGAATCGAGGAGCGCGGCATCATTCCTAATCTTTTTGCGCTGAAAGGAAGAGCCTCGAATCACCTGCTCTATTTACGGCGTTAATGCTAGGAACGACACTCGGAGTAGGCAGCTGCCTTGGGTGGCAGATTTCGGAGGGTGGCTAGGCCTTGAAGGCTTTGTAAAGCTTACCCCGTGCACGTCAGTACTGTGAAAAGACGTTGAGAGTGCAGGCGAGCTGGTGGTAGCTAATCATGTCGTATTACACCTGAGACTGCGGTGGAAGAAATCGGAAGAACTCTGTGTCTGTTCCTTCTACTGAAAGTTCTTCCGATTTCTTCCACCGCAGTCTCAGGTGTAATACGACATGATTAGACGTCAGTACTGCCTTTAGTGCTATATATATATATATACTAAAGGCAGTACCGGCGACGATTGTTGCGCGAGCCGCGAGCGAGTGATCCCGTCGCGTTTTTGCGTCCTAAAGGCCGCTCTGGTGTCGGTGCTGCGCCGGCAGTTGCTTCCAGGGGGCCGCACGAGGGGACGTCCAGCCCTTGGTGTAGTGAGTGACGCATTTGCCGCTGCGGGGGGAGGAGGAAGAGGAGGGAGACTGTAGCATAAACCACCTTATCGGTTCTATACCCCGAATTGCGAATTTTCTCCGCACCGGGAAAAGCGAGCGCCTTGGGTAGCATGGAGCCAAAAGCGGGCAATTGTTTCTAACAAGTTCAGCCTTGTACGACACCTTTTTTTTTCCACGAAGTGCGTGAAGTTAGGTGATCTTGTACAAAAGGCTCCAATATTTACGCCATTGGTGGGGAAAACATGGAGCTTTCTGGACTGCCACTAGATGGCCCTGGATTTTGACGATGGGGTATTCCCAAGAAATTTTGGAGAGTCTGGAAAAGTCTGGGAAATCGACACAAAACTTTTGTCAAGTCGGGGAAAAGGGCCGTCGTGGGGCGTAGCGGTGAGACGCGACGAAGCGGGACGGTATATGGCACGGGTGGCCTCCGCGTTGAGGAACAGTCGCCCGAGGCGTCACTGGGCAGCGTGAACCGCCACCGGATGAAAAAGCCAAGGGTCCGAACAGCCGCTGGAAGAGCCCGTCGTCTATTTTAATGCGGGAAGCATTATATGCCCCATTACGCGGAAACCCTGCGTCGGCGTGACGGAGCGATGGTACCAAAAATGGCCGACGGCACAAGGAGTAAAGACGCGTCAAAAATGCTCGGAGTGACGCCAGTCTTCTCAGGGAGGTTCCTGTATATCGAGTAAATGAATGGCTTTGAAAGGAAAATTTGCTGCATTTCGGTCTGGGGGAATCGAACCCGGGCCTTCGGTGTCTCCGTGGGTGCGTCGCCGACCACGAGGCGATGGTCCTCTCGCGATCGACCTGATCCCACCGACGCCACCGCAAGCGGCTGTTACGACGCGAAGATTACGCGCCAAATGCTTTCGGCTTATTCCCACACGTCAGCAGTGCTAAGTGTCTGTGCCGAATTTTCTTCTTTCTCAATGGTCAGAAAATGCGATCGAATTATTCGGAGAATAATAGATGTTTTCATAGAAGTCTTTGGTGTTCCGTAAGTAAATTTTACACGTTGGAATTCTGCTCCTAGAGAATCCACGCGTCAAAGCGCGTCGATTCGGTATTTGGGGGGTAATGGCGTATCCGTTCGGTGCAATGGTTAACTATTGAAAAAAAAAAAAAAAGCGCGGATTGCGAGCCAGGTGTGATCGAGTAGGTTGTTGGCCTTGAAACGTACCGGTGTCGAACCGCTTTATTTTTAGCCGCACGCGGACGCGCGTTGATTTGCATTTGTATCTGCGTTGTTTGTCGGAACCCAGGTGAGCTCGCAAATCCAGCTGTACGGGAAGGCGAAACTAAAATTGGAACTCCGGATGAGGGGGTTTCGGTATGTCGCTGGTGGTGTGCAATGCTCGACACTTGTCCCTCGAACGCGATTTGTGCGCTTTTTTTTTTTTTTCCCATTTTGAGGGAGTATAAAGAGAAATATACCACGTAGGTTAGTACCCCACGTGAGCACTATCCGCAACTATTGTACTTGGTTAATGATACATCAATACTAAAAGAAAAGAAAAAAACGGCGATGGCTTGTTTGCGTTAACAGTGTCCAGGAGAAGGGTACAAGGATCAATGCGTGTCACGTTGTCGGGAACGTCGCGAACTTTTGTTGAACCTGAAGTTCGACTTGCTCG